TAATTAATTATACAAAATCCTCTTACAATTTTAAGTTTTTTAAGAATCTGAAATCAAATTAATTTAATTCTAAATAAGTATTACAAGAAATCTACATTATGGGCGTCGAAGCCGCCTACATAATCATGTTTTGAGTTAAATATAAATCAAAAGCATTCATTGTGAAGCCTAAGGACTTACATAATAATAACACTGATCCCAGGTTGGAGAAGCTTAGTTTTGATTGGTAGAGTTCTTTTCAGCAAAACATTTTATAAAATATGAAAAAAAATTAGTAAGTTTTTGATTTTTGAAAATATCTTCTATGAAAAATGGTAAGACTGATGCATACATTTTCTATAGTGTAATTAATATCTAACAACTCATCCTCAGTGATGCATGAAATAAATGAGTTCACATATTCGGTAATAGAATGGCTTCCATTACCTTGAGAGCTTGGATGTTCCTTTTGAAATTCATCTGCTTCCTCAAGTTTCTTTTTGACATCAGGTTTTCCTTTTAACTCAGCAACTTCAGTATATAGGTTAAATGAATCTGGACGGAGCATTGGATTATTGGCCCAACATCGCTCCATCACTTCTATCCAACACTCTGGCGTTCCTTCAATAGTAGGTGGCCGCAATCCTTTGCAAATGTCATATATTAAGAAAGCATTGTGATTACGGTCACAGAAAGGCAACGCGCCAGCTGATATTTCCCACATAATGATCCCCATGGCATACATATCACTTGCAGGAGAATGTGGCTTGCCCACAAACAATTCTGGTGCCATATAGGGAATGCATCCATATACTTCATCCCCTGTAGCATTTTTATGCATGATTACAGAGCTCAGTCCAAGATCTGATATAAATGGCGTATTAACATCATTGATAAGAATATTTCCACTATGCAAGTCACCATGAATAATTCCTCTACTATGTAATGAAGAAAGCTGTGCTAATAAACGATAAAGAAATTCAAACCGGAGATCCCAAGATAAGTTTTTATTTCTTTGTAAAAATTTGCGCAGGTCTCCACCGGGAAAGTAGTTCATTACAATGGCATATGAATCTAAGTGCTTAGTTATTCCATGTGTGTAATTCACGAAGTTGAACTTTGATAAGTTGGCCATCTTGAAGATACAGAAAAAGGTATCGTTATAATTATATATTACTAAACTATTTGGATAAAATTTTATCTTACCTCATTGAGGGCCTTTGAAGCATTGTTATTTGTGAAATTAATGGTTTTAAGTGCGACTGTCTTTGCTTCTTTATCCTTACAATCATTATCATGCCATGTCGCGGTGTAAACGGTCGAAAGCCCACCATCAGCAAGATGCGTTATGTTTGTTAGTTGAATTGGTTCTATCCATTTCCATTCACCACGTGAAGCTTTAATTACCATATCAATTTGTTTATTACCACTCGTCCATCTTTCTTTGGAAGAATGGGAATGTATTAATGCCAAGTTTTTAGCATGCTTCTTATCGCGCTCTTTCTTGAGATCAGATGCAATATTTGGATTAAATCTTGACGAAATTTGGAATAAGCCAAGATGGTTAAGTGCTTATGAATTCTCTGGATCCATTGTCAAAGCATCTTCAAAATCAATTTGCGCTTGGATATAGTTGTTTTAAGCAACCACAAAATACAAGTACATCTACATTGTATGGATCAACTTCTAGAGCCTTGTTAAAATCTACCAATGCTTGCTCATAGTTATGGAGCATGCAACAAATTTTACCATGATTTTTAAGTGCAAACACACTATTATGATTGATTTCTAATGCTTTATTAAAATCATTCAGTGCCTCTTGGTAATTTTTAAGTTTTTTATGTATTTCACCGCGTTTTTCAAGAGTAATTGAACAATATGGATTAGTTTCCAAAACTCTGTTAAACTGAAATAGTTCCTGACTGTAATCCCCATTAATTTCTTCTTTGAAAAGCGAACATCTATTTTTTACATCTTTTTTTATCAAAATAAGCTTTAAATTGTATTAATCCAAGAAGCTCAAGAGAAAGTGCATCCTTCGGATTATCTCTCAAAATTTTATGAAGATCATCCAGCGCTTGGTCATAGTTGTTAAGTTTATCGTATAATAAGCTCCGATGATAACGCGCGAATGTGCTTTTTGGGTTAATTTCTAATGCCTGATCGAAATCATTTAACGCTTTATTTAGAATTAAATTAATTTGATTTCAGATTCTTAAAAAACTTAAAATTGTAAGAGGATTTTGTATAATTAATTA